TTGCGTTTAACTTTGAAGGAAAGTAAATCCTCATCACACAGATTATTTTGTCAAAACCTTGATATCTGTTCAGTTCCATATCCAAACGTAAACAATGCAATTACTAAAGAATTACTGGATTATTTTTAATTAAGCGATTTCATTACTTTAAACAATTCTAGTGGGTACTTCGCATTTGAAATAGATATCCCATTTATATATATATATATATATATATATATATATATTGTATATTTTGTGTATTTAGGCAGCAATCCTTCAGTTATGCATGATTCATTAAAATGGCACTTTACTCCAATTGGCTCATTCGCTTGCTTAAACTCAACTTTCATTCTGGTTCCGCAGAAGTGTGTTGGGTGTGAAAAAGTATTTGTTGTTAACATTCTTTTTTCATTCGGTTTTTTCAGTTACGAGTCCTTTTTTAAAGCTGATCGTTTTGTGTTCATTTTGTTTAGTTCTTTTTCGTAACAGATTTAATGTTTAGTATAGAGCTTAGAAAAAAATTCGCAGTGAGATAGGCAAGAAGTAAGGCATGTAGCAAACATCAGCACGGCAAAGGGCACCCTTTAAAGCCAAGGAAGGGCAAAAATATTTTTAAGTCAAGTGATAGCGATTGCTGTATGAGTCGTACGATTTTTGAATCAAAGACGGGCAACGCCGGGCCATGCTGCTAGTATATGTATATACGCATCTATTCTTCAAGGACATATTCAAATAGAAATTACATGCTGCAAATATCGCTATAAGGGAGTTCGAAATGGTGTTGAAAAGCTTTGAAAAGTGTCCTCTCAACCATCCAACAGAATTAAGAACTAACATTAAATCTTGGCGCAATGCATCAAGACGGTCAACCCATCACCATGTCCCTCGTGTGGATTTGTTTGCAAATCCCCTGTAGGATTGCTGTCTCATATGAAACATAAACATAAAAACTGAACTGAAAGACACTCGACGGGTGAGTCCATCATCACTTAAAAGCTCCCCGATTCCTCAATCCGAGAGAGCCGAGTTGAATTCCATTCGTATCTATTACATTCACTTAAGTGCCAATATCCTTGGGAAAGAGATGAATCCTCTTACCACCGAACTATGGATAATTAACAGGACAGACTAGTTTCTGCTATCCTTGGATGGCAATCGTTCTACGAGAAAGTAACTCTGAATTCAAAGCTGTAAGTAGTATTGGTGTAGCAGTAGTATACAGCGGAAGAAAGGATCGTTTGAATTGGGTCGATGACCCCTAGTACGGTCAACTCCTTAACAGACTGGGTTCTATAGCCTTGGATGGCAACCGATCTAGGAAAAAATAATTTTGAATTCAAAACTGTATGTATCCCTGGTGTAGCACATATTATCCAGCTGAAGAAAGGATCGTTCTCATTGGCTCGATGATCCCGACTACGGTCGATTCCTTAACAGACTGGGTTCTATAGCCTTGGATGGCAACCGGTCTAGGAGAAAGTAACCCTGAATTCAAACCTGTAAGTAGCCCTGCTGTAGCACATACTATACAGCTAAAGAAAGGATCGTTCGTACTGGGTCGATGACCCCTAGTACGGTCAATTCCTTAACAGACTGGGTTCTATAGCCTTGGATGGCAACCGTTCTAGTAGAAAATAATTTTGAATTCAAAACTGTATGTACTCCTGGTGTAGCACATACTATATAGCTGAAGAAACGATCGTTCGCATTGCTTGATGATTCCGATTACGGTTAACTGCTTAACATACTGGGTTCTATAGCCTTGGGTGGCAACCGGTCTAGGAGAAGGAAATTCTAAATTCAAAACTGACCTGGAGATGGTTGATTGTGATCCTGATTGATAAGCAGTTGTATTGAATGCGTAAGGAAAACAGCTGTACATATCAGTTTCATTAAAACAACTTCGTTTTGATAGTCCATCGAAAATATTCGATGTGGGAATCAAACAGATTGTAAGTTTATAATCAAGTTACGAAAGTGTCTTGCTGGGGAGACAGTGTTACAGTTCGTCTCCTTACGCAATCAGACAACGCAAAATCTAATCTGTTCGAACCGGATGTTGGCAAAAGTTGCTCCCGCTTTCCACCGATAAACCCCCACACCAACCCAATCAACTGCTGTCCGTTACTTAAAACCAATCAATCAACTTCGGTTCTCAGTTTCCTCAGCTGTGCGCTGAATAATACCGGCAAATCAATAGAGGTGGGAAAACAAGAGTCGTCACCGTGGAGCTATTCGATATGCGTCCGTTCGCCGTTAAAGTCATCGAAGTGTCCGTAATCGATCGCTTTAAACGAAATCAAAATTTCGTGACGGTTCAGGTGAATAGGGTTTTTTTTTTTTCCTCAATGAAAACAAAACGTGTGAGAAGAGATTATTTTTCTTGCTTTTCTTGTCAGTGTCGAATATCACTTCTCCCTCTTTTTAATGACTGGTGACAATCTCGATCACTCACTCTTTCGCCCCCTAACTCTACTCTACTCTCTCTCTCTTTATCTATCTATCTATCTATCTATCTGTGTGTTTGTGTGTGTGTAGTGTTTATTTTGAGAAAAATGTTGTCAAAATAAACAGTGCACTACAAGCCGATACCAGAAACATTTTAAAAAATTCCTGCGAATATTAAAATTAAAATTCATAGATGAAAATGGTCATTTACTGAAGCTGTCGTAATTCCAATTGTAAAGTAAATATGCTCTGTTTATTGTGAATAAACATAGAGAGCTCTTTTGTGAGTCAGTTTTAACATATTTCAAATTCTATGTTGTGTTACTAGGACTTGCATGGATTATACAGATGGATTACTACCTATATATATATATATATATATTATAGAAATTATTAGGAGGATTTGATAATTATATTTAAGTAATTCATCGAGTCTGAAAGAAACCTCAACAGAATGCAGGAAGCACTCCTAATAATTTCTATCATGTGTACATCATTGCTTGAACCGGCTTCTAATGCTCTAGAGTGAGTGGCTTGGTGATAGTAGTCGTGGCTCCAGGGGGCACAGTCCTATGTTTAGAGAGAACTCAATAGAGTTCCACCACGGAATATGTGAGCGAGCGGCGCTATATTGAGTTTGATTTACAATCTCTTCGTCACCGAGGCCCATTGGAACAGTACGATGTTTGCTTGACAGCCTGTCAGGGTTTCAATTCTCGGTAGTGGATGCGAACTGTTGATGAGTTCCAAATATAGGACGAAACGGCCGTCCAGTGCTTTCTGCATTCTGTTGAGGTTTCTTTCAGACTCGATGAATTACTTATATATATATATATATATATATATATATATATATATATATATATATATATATATATATATATATATATATATATATATATATATATATATATATATATATATATCCAAGAGCATAGATTCTCGCTAGAGCTCAATATACAAGACAAAAATATTAGTGTTTGTGCCTTTTATATATATGTATTTATGTGTGTGTGTCCATATATTTCATAAGTTGAGTCTTTTTATTATATTATATATTTTTCATAAGAATTGAGGCCTTTATATCATATATATATATATTAAAGACATTTTTATGTATGTTTAACGTTGTTATTTTTATAGATACAAGTATTTAAGCAAATGCTCTGTTTATGATAAACAGTATTAAATAACATTTACCGGCCTGAATGTCCGAGAAATTTTCATAGAAAATATTCGTTCATAGACAGATTCGAACCTGCATCCTATACGGAACCGTCATATACGCTGACGTGCCTTAACCACTCGGGCCACCATGAACCTTATGGTAGACAAGGTCGAATTTACTGTTATAAACTACAATCTTCCATGAATCTCGTACATTCATAACTGCTCTGGCGTATCGAATGTAAACAAATGACGTCATATGTTAAGAAATGGACGAGGTCCGACAATTTATTTATTAAAGACATTTTTATTTATGTATATATATATATATCATAAATTACAAAGACAAACTTATTGTAACTCAGTTATAGTTGTTTTATAATTTAAAATTTATCTATTTCAGTTACGTAATCTTTTAGAAAGCAAGTATTTCAATATCAGGTAGCAGGGTAGAAATTGTAAAATAATGTAAAATGGCATTAAATTTTTTTCTATACACTTTAACTTATTTTTACTACAGTCGTATTAAATTTTGTTGAGTCTTGGTTGCTTGCTTTTGATAGAGATGGCCACAAGAAATTTAATTTTTTGTTATTTTCATGGTGTTGCACATTGGTGCTGGAGTATTTACCTGTATTTTGAAGGCAGACAGGAATATGTTTTAGATGTTGTTCAACAAAATTTGTATCCCATAAATAAAGTGTAAGACGCCTTAATAATGCTGTGGTCGTCAAGCAAGATTTACTTTGTAATTTAACCATGAAGATGACCTTCGAAAACATCGAAAATGCTTAAAAATAAAATAAAAACCTTCCTTCGTTGATAAACGTCATCTTAACATCAAGAAACAGTTTAGACAACTACAAAAATCAACATAAAACAATGTAGGCACAATATGTCTATACTAATCAATGAAACATGTTTGCATAACGGTATACTGCATATATATATATATATATATATATAGTTTATGAAAACTAGGTAATCCGTATAGACCCAAGGAGGATAAAATCAGAGAGCTCAATGTAAATCCAGATCAAAGAAGTTAAACAATTTAAAGTGGTCTGTTTTTATTTAAATAACATATATATATATATATATATATATATATATATATATATATATATATATATATATATATATATATATATATTACGTTGAATTACAAAATAATGTCGTTTTTTGACGTTAAGTTGAACGTCGAAAAAATATTATTTTTTGCAAATATATATATATATATATATATATATATATATATATATATATATATATATGTATATATATATATATATTTTAAATCTAAATGGCCCTTTCACTACAGAATTAATATTTATCAGAATCGGATCAAGTCGGCTCTCCACGAAAGATTATTACCTGTAGAACTATATTTCCACCTAGAAAAACATGATTTTAAAAGCATTGCAAAAGTTACTATAATTGAAAAAAAAATAGAAATAGATAGAAACGATAACCTTAGAAAGATACTAGAGGATTATGAAGACAAATGGATTTTGCGCCGCCAAATATTTCTTCCAGACGGGCTCAACCACAATTTTAGCATAGATAGAATCAATATATAACCTCACAAATCAAGCCCTACCCACATTTCTCATACACACGACAGACATGCTTGCAGATCCACACATCACACACATTCCCAAAGAACTAAAAGATAACATACACTTAACACACACATCCCATTCCCAACAAACCATAAAACTGTCATAATCACTAAGGAGGGATTCTTAGTTATCTCCCATCCTCTATCTTAAAAACAACTTGAAAGATGCCGCTTAACAACATAAGGGCAGACCAAAATTAACGATATAAAAATCAAATTAAAACTACAGATAACGAGTTATTCACTCCTGTAGTTCACGGCTAATAATAAGCAGGGATGTTTTTATCCTGATGATGTGCATGCTGGCCGAAACTAGTCGAGGAACCTAATTGAAATAATAAAACAAAAATACCTTAATATACAAGCCAGTGTGTCTAAAAATTTTAATATTTTTTGTTGTTCAAAATAAATATATAATATTTAATATGTAAAAATATTTATCTAATTGAGTTCGTTTTTTCTAGGTTTCGCATAAGACATTTAGCCATCTTGACACCGTTTTTGATGAGAATCATTGAAAAAACCCTTTGAGTTAGGCAGCTACAAAGAGATCAGGTTAAAATCATTTTGTGTCAGCCACACTATATTTTCCCAAATGAATAATATTAAAGGAAAAATCATTTAGCTCTTCAGTAATAGTACCAATATTCATACTCTGGCTTCCATCTTCAAAGTTTATTCAAGAACCATCAAGAAAATGGGGAATAATTTTAAAAAAAGCGGGAGCAGTACAGATGAAAAATTGGATCCAGAGGTCACAACAGGAAGAAGGATCATCATTTCAACTTAGAACTAAAGAGATCAATTATAAAAGATCTATCTCAACCCATAAGACGTTTGGCACGTGTAGAGAATAATCTTGAATAAGTTGGAAAATTATCCCTGAATTATATATATATATATATATATATATATATATATATATATATATGCACGTATATCAATCAATTACATCAATCAGTTAAGTAATATGAATACGACATTTTCGTTTATGATCGATTTCATCACAGTTTTTCTATTAAGCTTGGTGAGTAATTATACATTGTACTAAATTGCTGAAAGTAGTCCAATTATGTTATAAAAACGTTGGAGATTACAGAAAGATATCTTTAATCATTTCTAAGATACACGATTTGGGCAATTTTGCTCCTACACCAGGAATATTCAACTTGAAAGAGGCTGTTTGACACACACAAGGACTGACCAAAATTAACTATATAAAAAAAACAAATGAAAACTACAGTTTATTTTTGTTCAAAAACAGTCGAACTGAACCCTTTATTTCGATCACTGGGGTAGACTGTTCTGAAAGTTCTCCACTGCCTTAACCGGGTATTGAACTCACACTCTTTGGGTCAGTCACTAGATCTAACCAACGCCTTTATCCACTGTACCATGTGTCCTTGAGGCCGGAGCGTGCAACGGCCGAAACGTTGTGACAAATATGGCGACAAAGATGAGGACAATAGTCCGACTAATGTAAATACTGTACATAATACCTCATCTCAGAAATATAGACAAACTCTGAAGAAAAAAGAAAGTTTGAAAATTAATAGAAATTAGAGAATAGTGAAAGAAAGAAAATAGGAAAGGAAGAAAGAAAAAGAAAATGCATGATTGAACAAAAAAAAAAATGAAAAATTGAGAGAAATCGAAAAAGAAAAAAGAAGACGAAAAGAACATATTCAATGAAAAGAAAAAAAGGAAGAAAAAGCATGAAAGATGAGAAAGAACTTAGAAAAGAAAAGTTAAAGAAAGTATTATAAAAGAAGGAAAAAAAGTAAGGAAGGAAGGAAGAAAGGAATGAAGGAAAGGAAGAAAGAGTAATATCAATGAAATAAACAAAGAAAAATGGTAAGCAAGAAAAGAAAACCAGAAGATAATAGAAGTAAAGAATGAACGAAGAATAGAATGAATTTAAAAATGCCGAAAAGGCTTAAAAATGTTAAAAGGGAAGAATTTTCACAAATAAACCGTAAAAAGAGATACAAAACATATCAAAGCCCTTAAACTACAAAACCAGCAATAAATTTAAACTAACATTATCTCGTCACCCATTCGCAAATATAAAACCAGCTTTCTTGAAATCTATTATATTTCAGTCGTTTAGTATAAACTAAATGTTTGATGGATGATAGCGTTCTCAAAGAAAGCTCTTCAAAACATATCACGTTATATTTTTACACCTGAGTGATCAAAGCTATCGATTAAAGCACATAAAATCGTTTTCAGATGCATATTTCCCTTCCTCGAGGTGCAATGTTGGTTAGATCAATTTCGAA